AGAAGGAGAGAGCAGAGTGACAAGTAGATGAGCCTGCTGTGTCCAGTCACAGGCTGGGGGCGGGTCTTGGATGTCCTGGACGAGGAGGAAGTGAGTTTAATGATGCCGGCCATCAAACTGAGGACATCTGTCTGCAGCAATAAGGTACTGCGGGGGAAATCTTTGGACTGAAGGTGAATATTGCAGTAAAAGATGGTTCCGTGACCGCGTCTCCCTTCTGCAGTCCCCTCTCCGCAGCACTGGAGCCTTCCCGCACCTAGCAAGGACATGGCCAGGAAGGGGGGTTGGGGCCAACAGACGCCCAATGAAATCGAGAAGTATTGCATGAAGTATTGGGGGCAGCGCCTCCGTCTCTGCAAAGACTGGATTCACCAGCGGCACCAACGGTGAATAATATTCACCTATCTGCCAAAGCTGTGCATCATTCCTCTTCTAATGACAAAAGGGGCTCAATTCACAAAGCTGAAACTCAGAGATGATGACACTTGTTTTGGAAAGAGTGACAGTTATTTTCAGCCTCGTCCAATGAGATTCTACGTTTTAGTCACGTGACTGGAAATAAAAGATACTTATCCTTGTGTGAAGCTTTGTGAATGGAGTCTCTTTCAGCAATGATCACCTCCCCCACCCCCCGGCCTGTGATGGAACAATGGGCAGAAGCTCGCTGATGAGGTCATCGCTCTCCTTCTGTCGCCATTCCCTCTTTGAGCACATGTGCCTGTGGCAGAGTCTGATTGGCTCAGGAGTACAAGGCTCCATCTCAGGACTTTAGTTACATTTTAATGATTATTTTTTTTACCCAGCTGGTATTAAATGGCTGTTTTTTATATCGGCACAGAGTCTAACTAGGGATGCACCGATACCGATACTAGTATTGGTACCGATACCGAGTATTTGGTCCAGTACTTGCCCAAATGCTCAGATACCTTCCCCCGATCCTGGGACCTCCGGTCAGAGGAAGATTTCCTCTGACCGGCAGTGCCGTAAGGGGAACATGCAGCCAGCTTCCCGTGCGATCAGGAAGCTGGGCGGTGAGTAATGACCCGCCTCCCGGCTTCCTGATTGGCCAAGAAGTCAGCTCCATGTTGATTGGCCGGTAAGCCGGCTTCCTGGCCAATCAGCATTGAGCTGGCCGAACAGCCAGCTCGATGCTGATTGGCTGGGAAGCCGGTTTCCCGGCCAAGCACAGTCAGAAGCCGGCCAGACAACATGGAGCCAGCATCTCGGGCAATCAGATTGCACGGGAAGCCGGCTTCATGGCGGCGGAAGCACCGGTATGGATACTTGGTGTCGACGAGTACCGAAAGCAAAGTACCGGTACTCGTACTCAATACCGAAAAACCAGTATCGGTGCATCCTTATGTCTAACTACATCCAATAATACCGATCACATACCAGCATTTTGACTTGATCGGCTGTCCCGCCCGCTGACTTCGTCTTTCGAGAGCTAGACATGCTGAGAGGAAGCAGCCCAAACCTGAAAGAGAGAAGAAAATGAGGAGTGAATTGGGGATTAAAGAGGACCTGTCACCTGGATGTGAAATGTTTCATTCAGCCGCTACAATATATATTAGAAGTCAAAATCATACCTACTAGTCCAGGGGTCGGCAATCTCAGAATTCCGGGTGCTGTGGAACTACAATTCCCATGAGGCATTGCAAGCCTGGCAGGCATGACTCCCAGGAGCAGAGGCATGTTGGGATGTGTAATGGCAGCACAGCCGAAGTGCCGAGGTTGCCCACCCCTGTACTAGTCCATGGAGTCCAGCGATGTCTTCCTTGCCGCCACTCCCTGTACCGCTCTTCTCTTGCACCGCCATCTTGGATCCAGCTGTCCTCCTGATGATGCACCGTTAGATCTCACGTATAGGCACACAGCAATCTAGCTTGCCGCCATTTTATTTACCAGCTGCTGGTTGACGTTAGTGTTGGATCACAAAGTGGCAACCGGTAAACGAGGTCATAGCACAATAGAACCAAGTAGGTGCAGCATCTCTATCTTGGTAGACTTTGGCACTTACTGCCCTGCAGCCTTTAGGGATGTGTGCGGTGTACATCCTAAGAAGCTGGAGACGACACCAAAAGTATGACACCCCCACTGAGGCGGGAAAAAATGGGAAGTGGGAGGGGGACACCAGCTAAAATAATTCTTCATCCCGCCAGAAAGCTTTTTAGTTGATAACTTCCTGAGCTCTCCGCCGGGGCGACTGTTAGCGGTCACATTGTTTCCAGGTCTCTTTGTGGACTACAGAGCACCCGGGGCTGTACCTATAATGAGGCAGCCCGAGGTTATTTTCTCCGGGGGCATCTATTTGTGCTACATGGGCACACCTGCTGCCCCCTTTCTGGTCAGAGCGTCTTAGGTTGCCAAGAGCTCTTAGCAGCCTGTGACCCTCTAGCCGGCATCCCACCCAGCTCATTGACGTCACCGGCTGCCAGGAGCTCAGCGGGCGCTCTGGTCCCCTTTCTGGACAGAGCTTCGGAGGTTGCTAAGTGGCGGGCAGGGAGATGTGTAAAGACCACCCTCATCTCCTCACCCACATCTCCTCACCCACATCTCCTCACCCTCATCTCCTCACCCTCATCTCCTCACCCTCATCTCCTCACCCACATCTCCTCACCCACATCTCCTCACCCTCATCTCCTCACCCTCATCTCCTCACCCACATCTCCTCACCCTCATCTCCTCACCCACATCTCCTCACCCTCATCTCCTCACCCTCACCCTCATCTCCTCACCCTCACCCTCATCTCCTCACCCACATCTCCTCACCCAGCTCTTAGCAACCTGGGATGATCTGGCCGGAAAGGGGACCAGAGCGTCCGCTGAGCTCCTGGCAACCATTGATGTAACTGGTTGCCAGATGATGTAGAGGCCGCACCCTCTCCTCCAGAGTGCCACCAAACACCTCCCCTTCCTTATAGCATGGACCACCAGCACCACGCCGCCTCAGGTAGTGAAAAGACTAGGGAAGCCCCTGAGAGCACCTACCCCCTATGTTATGGAGATGAGGGGAGAGGGGGATGTGTTCTATAGTCCTAAGACTTCTTGTCCTAGGGTGACAATGCTGCTCCCTCATTGATACAGTGAAGAGTGAGTGTTGTCGCTTCTTGCTCCTGCAACCATGTCTGGGGAGAAGCTGAGTGTGTGCTTCTACTAGAATGGCTTCACTATAAGGCCTCATTCACACACGAATCGGCCGGCGATGATACGGCCCCGCACGGAGCTGTACGCGCAGGCCGATTCGTGTGTGAATGGGGCCTAATAGTACTAAGGGGCTCGTGATGCGCTCCCAGAGGCTATATATTGTCAATAACGACACATATCACATCCGGCTAGATTGTAGATTTTTTTCCGTACTAAACACACACCAGAGGCTGGTTGACGTTCCATCTGAAATGTTTTGTTTGTTGTTATACAAATGGTCATTGATCTGTTTGCCGCTGACAGTGGAATTCTCTGTATAGTACTTGACCTTAACGTGACCACATGTTGTTGTTTGTAACATATGTACCAATGCTCGTTACTGTAAGTCTGAACTGTCGGAAATGTCAGTTAATAAACTAATTAAAAAAAAAAAAAAAAGAAAAAGGAGGATTACCCAATCTGACTGGAGGCCAGCGGAAGGACGTTGTGGGTTTCCTGGATGCCCAGCGTGGAGCTCCGGCTGGTAAACTGACTCTCTGCTCCGGTAAGAAGTCCAAACAGGACCTGCAAGCAGATGAAGTGATGTATAATGTGTGGTCAGGAGTCGGAGTTCAATGGACAAGTTCAGCTGCAAAAAGCCAAAAACTGGTCACATGTTTCTACAGCTGTAGAGGTGACTGAGGGAGGGATATCTGGGACCACAAATGGTCAGATGTGTCCCTGAGAACAAAGGCCATCGCCTACTTCTAGTGCGTTTGGCCTTCATAAGTTATAACTCAGCAATCTACAGCACCTGCCCGGGGCCCTGTGTGCCACTCCCTGCCAATCTACAGCTCTGCCCGGGGTCCTGTGTGCCACTCCCTGCTGATCTACAGCTCTGCCCGGGGTCCTGTGTGCCACTCCCTGCTGATCTACAGCTCTGCCCGGGGTCCTGTGTGCCACTCCCTGCTGATCTACAGCTCTGCCCGGGGTCCTGTGTGCCACTCCCTGCTGATCTACAGCTCTGCCCGGGGTCCTGTGTGCCACTCCCTGCTGATCTACAGCTCTGCCCGGGGTCCTGTGTGCCACTCCCTGCTGATCTACAGCTCTGCCCGGGGTCCTGTGTGCCACTCCCTGCTGATCTACAGCTCTGCCCGGGGTCCTGTGTGCCACTCCCTGCTGATCTACAGCTCTGCCCGGGGTCCTGTGTGCCACTCCCTGCTGATCTACAGCTCTGCCCGGGGTCCTGTGTGCCACTCCCTGCTGATCTACAGCTCTGCCCGGGGTCCTGTGTGCCACTCCCTGCTGATCTACAGCTCTGCCCGGGGTCCTGTGTGCCACTCCCTGCTGATCTACAGCTCTGCCCGGGGTCCTGTGTGCCACTCCCTGCTGATCTACAGCTCTGCCCGGGGTCCTGTGTGCCACTCCCTGCTGATCTACAGCTCTGCCCGGGGTCCTGTGTGCCACTCCCTGCTGATCTACAGCTCTGCCCGGGGTCCTGTGTGCCACTCCCTGCTGATCTACAGCTCTGCCCGGGGTCCTGTGTGCCACTCCCTGCTGATCTACAGCTCTGCCCGGGGTCCTGTGTGCCACTCCCTGCTGATCTACAGCTCTGCCCGGGGTCCTGTGTGCCACTCCCTGCTGATCTACAGCTCTGCCCGGGGTCCTGTGTGCCACTCCCTGCTGATCTACAGCTCTGCCCGGGGTCCTGTGTGCCACTCCCTGCTGATCTACAGCTCTGCCCGGGGTCCTGTGTGCCACTCCCTGCTGATCTACAGCTCTGCCCGGGGTCCTGTGTGCCACTCCCTGCTGATCTACAGCTCTGCCCGGGGTCCTGTGTGCCACTCCCTGCTGATCTACAGCTCTGCCCGGGGTCCTGTGTGCCACTCCCTGCTGATCTACAGCTCTGCCCGGGGTCCTGTGTGCCACTCCCTGCTGATCTACAGCTCTGCCCGGGGTCCTGTGTGCCACTCCCTGCTGATCTACAGCTCTGCCCGGGGTCCTGTGTGCCACTCCCTGCTGATCTACAGCTCTGCCCGGGGTCCTGTGTGCCACTCCCTGCCAATCTACAGCTCTGTCCGGGGTCCTGTGTGCCACTCCCTGCCGATCTACATCTCTGCCTGGGGTCCTGTGTGCCACTCCCTGCCAATCTACAGCTCTGCCTGGGGTCCTGTGTGCCACTCCCTGCTGATCTACAGCTCTGCCCGGGGTCCTGTGTACTTCTCCCTCCCAATCTACATCTCTGCCCGGGCTCCTGTGTGCCACTCCCTGACGATCCACATCTCTGCCCGGGCTCCTGTGTGCCACTCCCTGCCGATCCACACCTCTGTCCGGGGTCCTGTGTGCCACTCCCTGCCGATCCACACCTCTGTCCGGGGTCCTGTGTGCCACTCCCTGCCGATCCACACCTCTGTCCGGGGTCCTGTGTGCCACTCCCTGCCGATCCACACCTCTGTCCGGGGTCCTGTGTGCCACTCCCTGCCGATCCACACCTCTGTCCGGGGTCCTGTGTGCCACTCCCTGCCGATCCACACCTCTGTCCGGGGTCCTGTGTGCCACTCCCTGCCGATCCACACCTCTGTCCGGGGTCCTGTGTGCCACTCCCTGCCGATCCACACCTCTGTCCGGGGTCCTGTGTGCCACTCCCTGCCGATCCACACCTCTGTCCGGGGTCCTGTGTGCCACTCCCTGCCGATCCACACCTCTGTCCGGGGTCCTGTGTGCCACTCCCTGCCGATCTACAGCTCTGTCCGGGTCCTGTGTGCCACTCCCTGCAATCTACAACTCTGCCCGGGGTTCTGTGTGCCACTCCCTGCTGATCCACACCTCTGCCCGGGGTCCTGTGTGCCACTTCCTGCCGATCTACAGCTCTGTCCGGGTCCTGTGTGCCACTCCCTGCAATCTACAACTCTGCCCGGGGTTCTGTGTGCCACTCCCTGCTGATCCACACCTCTGCCTGGTGTCCTGTGTGTCTCCCTGCCAATGTACAGTACCACCAATGAGTTGCACTCTGCAATTACAGTGCTGGCTGGGGCCCTGGGTGCAAAACTGCAATATACAGCACTTTCTAGGGAACTACATGCAGAGATCCATTTCCATTTTGAAATCAAAGTTTTATTTCTATCTTTGGGCCCAGTGTTTTACGGGGGAACTACATGACACTATATTATAGTTCCTCCAGGTACCTGTGTGCTGCACTCTGCATAGTACAGCTTCAACTAGAGAGCCGGGTGCTCCACTTTACAACCTACAACACTGCCGGGTGGACCACCAAGTTGTAATCTGCACTTGAAATGCACACCCCCAACAGAGTTACATTAATGTTATGCAACCATGCTTCCTTTCATGATACCTTAGTCACGCCTCCCCTATCCTGCGACAATCAAGCAGCACCATACTGAAAGTCTCATCACTATGCTCACCCCTCCTGCAAGCATGGTCACTGTGTCAGACAGGCTCCTAGTACTGGCCCTGCCTCTCCCACTTTTAATCTAAGATTTCCCGGCAGGCCTGCAATAAACCTACAGATGTTCTCTGTGCCAGCCGGTTGAGGTTGGCGTTCAGATGAGGTGTGAACACGTCCAGATCGAATGGGTCAATGCAGCTCTCCAACCGGTCTGCGACTTGCTGAATTCTGAAATAGAATACACAGAACAATTAGCAGAAGCATCAGATATGGACGTAGGGGAAAGAGACCACCGGGACTGGACCTACCTGGAGTCCGGCTTGCTCTTGCTGGTCATTCCATCTTCAGAACGAGAGCCAAGAATGAGCCAGATGTAACGCAGGTCAAAGAGGAGCTGCAGGGCCCGGGCCTGTGTGAGTGCCGAGCCGTGCTTCTTCTACAGGAAGAATCACAATCATATCACAACCGTATAACATTCTCACCTTTAGGCCCGACTGGGACCGGACACCAATAATAAGCGCAATTCTGTGACTGGGATCAGTCTCTGCCAGTTACCCCGTACAAAGCAGTGACAGGGTGACAGGAGCCACTGCCGGAGTCCGCGGCTGTTCACGTGTAACTGTATATTGATTGGTTACATGCGGCTAGGAACCCTGGACGCAAACTGCCTGCATCCAGGGCCGCTCATGTGTACCTAGCCGCATGTAACTGCTTGGTGTGAGGTTACATGTGAACAGCCGCAGCCAACTGCAAACCCCCGCCACCCCAGCAGCAAAAACACAACGATTATGGTCAAAGTCCGGCCATAGTCAGCCGCGTGCATGCAGTCCATCTAAAATGCTATCTAGTAAGTATATGTAAAGCCAGTGGCGGAACTACCAGGGTCGCAGAGGTCGCAGCTGCGACCGGGCCCTGGAGTTCCGCCACTTGGAGGGGGCTCAAGACAGGAGGAAGGGGCCCCTGGTAACCAGGATATTTAATATCCCGGTAACCGCTAATGTCAATCCCGGGACCTCTTCCTCCTGTCCTGGGCCCTAAGTGCTTCACGCTGCTCCCCTCACCTTGTTCCGGGCTCAGCGTGAAGTATGATCCAGCCGGCGCAGCAGCCAATGAGTGGGAAGCGGGTTATCCCCGCCCCCTCGTCACACACAAAGCTGCCGAATGGAGAGCTGCTCCGGACGCGAAGGGGGAGATATAGGGAGCTGGGACTATGAAGGGGATATGGAAGAGTAGAGTGTGGGGTTTGGGAGCGGAAAGCTGGCGATGTGAAGGGGGAGATAATGGGGAGCTGGAGACATGGAAGAGCTTGTGTTTTGTTTTTTGTGTCTAAAATGTTTTTGTTTATTTTTTAAAATAAATCTAATTTCTTTTTTTTTTTGGGGGGGGGGCCTTGATGGATTCTTGCATCGGGGCCCTCAGGTGTCACTAGTTACGCCTCTGTGTAAAGCCAAAACTTTTTTTTCTTAGTTTTTGGATAGAGGGGGAAAGTTTAAATCATCAAATTTTTTGTCGGCGAAATTTTTTTCACTTCCTATGTTGGAGACACAACAACAGGAAGAAGAAATCCCCAAAAAAAGAAATCCTTTCTTATCCAGTGATCACTTAAACAAGTGTCCCTGTTGGGAGATTCCCTCCCTATTCCTATTCTGGTGACAACTAAAAATTGTACATTTAAATGCCGAGCATTATTGTCAGCTCACAGTAGGAAGTTAGGAGCTCAATGGATTTCTGGCAGATGTGTAAGTAAAAAATAAAACAAATGTAATGATGTATAAAATACAACGCTGCATTCATTTGTGTCCTTTGTATCTGGCTGGAGCTCAGCTGAAAGTGACACTAAACTCCAGAGTTACATCTTAAAAATCCATTCACAACCCTGAAGCCTGAGCAACAATGTATCTTATTTGTGTGTCACTCGGCTGTAGATCCTCCAATCATCTCTGACACTGTCCTTCCTTCTGGAGGGGGGCTACGTCTGTTCCCCATGGTCCCCGTGTGTGTTGTAAAGTAGTCACCGGTCCAAGCTCCGCCCCCGGGATGGACTAAAATCTCAATACAAATTAGCAACCTAAGCATGAAATTGTAGTCCATCCCGGGAGTGAGCTTGGAGCGGTGACTACTTTACAACACACACAGGGACCATGGGGAACAGACGTAGCCCCCCTCCAGGAGGAAGGACAGTGTCAGAGATGATTGGAGGATCTACAGCCGAGTGATACACAAATAAGATACATTGTTGTTCAGAGTTCGGGGACTTGAATGGATTGTTAAGATTTATCTCCGAGGTTTAGTGTCACTTTACATAAATATCGCCCTTTGTACTCATCAGCTCTACAAATCAGCAGGCGGTACCTTTCCCGTGCTTTCCTGGCACAGCTTCTCGTAGGCGCTGATCACTTCCTCCAGACAGGTTCTCAGCAGCTCCTGCAGGGTGACTTTGGGGATGGTGTGACCTCCGACACGGTTCACCTCTTGGCACAGGTTGAAGAGGAGCGGCTGGACATACCAGGAACACTGCGGGGAAGAACAAAGGCGTCAGAGCTGATTTGGAGTACTAAAGCCTCGTCTTCTGTTGTCTGATAATGGAATAGACAATGTAGCACAGGACAGGAACGGGTTACTTTCACAGGGGTCCAGAAAGGTGCCCATTGCCATCCTTATACAGCGCCAGCCTCCTGTTTCCTCTGCGCCACTTCTCCGAACTGCTCAGGGAGCGCACACAAACTCATCATCTAGTCACTCCTTGGGACTACATGTCCCATCGTTCTTAGCACCAGCAGACATGCGTGGAGTGGATTTTTTATGAACTCTCATGCACCCTTAGGCCCCATTCACACGTAGCGATTTATCGCGAGAAGTCGCCGGCTAATGATATTCAATGGAGCCGTCTTAGCTCCATGTCGCGCGTCGCGGTCGCAAGTCGCTTCTACAGGACTCTTTTTTCGGCGGATTTTGCTTTTTTCGAATGGAGCCCGACGGAGAAGGTCGCGCTACCGTCGCTGGAACGTCGCGCTATCCCGGCCGCTGCAAAAGGTATGTCGCTGAGTGTGAATGGGGCCTTAGGCTGGGTTCACACCTAGGGGTATCGAATATGCGCGTTTGTCGCGCGTTTTTACAGCGATTCGCGGTTAAAAAAAACGCGCATTTTCGAGGGCTACTTGGCTGTATCCCAATGGAAACGCGAGACCAAAACCCCCCAAAGAAGTACATGTACTTCTTTGGGCGCAGGCCGTTTTGTAGCGTGCTCAGACGGGCTGAAATACGGAAAGGTGTGAACCAGACCCATAGAAAACAATGGGATTTTCAAGTTTGTACGTTTTGTAGAGCGTTCATAGAGCGTTGAACGCGCGACAAAACGTAAAGGTGTGAACAGGGCCTAAGCGTTATAGATCCCCAACTGCTGTCCCTAACATTCAGAACTCTTCACTGATCTATGTGCGAGAGTACCAGGAAGCTTCGCAGAGCCGCCAATCACATTAAAAAACTTTCCATGGAAGTTTGAATCTGATTGGTGATACAGAAACAAGTAAGTTGCAGAGCACCGCCTCCAGAAAGCCAACCTACCCGCTGGCCATGTGAGGAGCTCTGTGAAATCTGAGTGCAGTGAACTGCATATAAAATGAATGGACTTCCTGCAGAGTTTAGCATAGCTGCAGTATTTGCCCCTACATAGCCCAAAGTTCACCCAGCTGTCAGAAGTGATGCTTGAGCTGGGCGCTGCTGTCACACCAATCATACCATGCACGGCTGTTCTAATAAAAGAAGGAAAGATTCAGACTCGGGTCACTGGGATATAAACAGATTCGGAATTGGTTAATAGGAGGACTCGCTCACCTGTCCCGGCAGAAGGATTTTTGACACCACGCTGCTTCCTGCCTCTGTCTCCTCTTGAATTTCAATCTCATCCCAATGGGTGGCAGCAGCTAGGGCTGAACCCGCAGCATTGAGCAGAAGGGACTGTGTGAAGGAACGGACTAGGTGCTGCAATAGAAACAGGGAGGGGGTCAGCGC